AGTCAACAGCTACCTCGACACGCTCGACCGCGTCTACCTGGGACACACCTGAGGGAGCAGGACCCTGGGGGGGGAGGGGGTCTACCCGGGGGGTACCTGGCGCAAGGAGGAGCAGCGGGGGGGGGAATGGGAGCAGTGCGGTAGGGGAAGAGACGATAGTAGGGAACTGACTCGTCAAGCGTGACGTCCTGAGAGGACAGAACACGGCGCGAGGTAGGGTGGTAAAACTGCCAACCAGGTGCGTCAGGGGGGAAGCCAAGGAAGACGTAGGGAACAGCACGAGAGGACAGCTTGTCCGCAGACAAGTCGCGGACGAAAGCTCGAGATCCCCAAACACGGAACGCAGACGCATCGCCAACCTTCCCCGTCCACCACAGAACAGGGGAGGTCTCCGGCATGGAGACCTGGGGCTGAAGGTTGATCTGATGCGCCGCGTACTGAACCGCGAACGGCCACAGAAAATGGGGAGCAGCCGCATGGATCATGGACGTACGAGCGACGTCCATGACCATGCCAATGCAGCGCTCAGCAATCCCATTTTGCTGTGGAGAGGCCGGAAGCGTGATCGTCTGGCGGATTGCCTCCGCACGACAAAAGGCTCGCAGAAGGTCGGAGGAAAACTCTTGACCTCTGTCGGAGTACAGACGCAGAACAGGAAAATCCGAGCCGAAACTCTCTTTGAGGTGGAGACAAGCAGCGCGGATCCAATCGATCAACACCTCAGTGACCTCACCCTTGCGGCGCAAGGGGAAGACTGTGGTGTAACCCGAGTAGTCATCAACCACCAGTAGGAAGTAACGCTCATGACCCTGTCCACGGACGCGGGCAGGGCCCCACACGTCCATGTGGAGAGTCTGCAGCGGAGCCTCTGTTGGAGGAAACTCGGAGGAGTGAGGAGCGGCGCGCTGCCGTCCCTCGACGCATGGAACGCAGGTAGGGGCAGGCCTCGGAGGAAGGGGAGGGAGGGACCTCAGGAGACCAGAGACAAGGACACGGGAGGCCATGCCTCGGAGACGAGGCAGGGAGGGGTGACCAAGGCGGTGGTGCCAGAGGAGAGTCTGGTGGGACTGGAGGCGACACGAGCAGGGGGCAGACTCAGGACTAGACCGAGACGCTGCAGCAGACACCTGACCCGATGCAGCAACCTGACCAGACGCAGTAAACGAAGGAGACTCAGTCGTCTGTTTGTACAGGCTCGACCCCGGCTGACGGGTAAACGTGGCCAAGTGTCGGCCCGTCCGAGCACACGTGCAGTGGGTCACTCGCTGACTCGCGGGAGTGAACTGGTCCACCCCTCCATGCTGCAGGTCAGCACCACTCACCAAGTTCGTAGACAACGAGGGGAGGTAGAGACCTAACAGGGAGCCAGACGGGGCCGCCGGACACGGTAGGACAGTGGAGTAGTGAGCAAGGACAGGACCCCCACAAGGGTTTGCCAGGGAGACTGCTATCGGCCGACTAAGCGGCGTGAGGGTGGTGCGGTCTCGAAAGAAGGAGCGGGAAGCACCCGAGTCAAGGGTGAAGGTGTGCAAGACCGGAGCAGGCGCAGCACCAGAGAGAGCAAACTCACCAGCACGTGGAGTAGGAGACTCACTAGCACCTAGAGCAGCAGCCTCACCGACACCTGGAGCAGGAGACGCACGAGCACCTAGAGCACCAGCCTCACCAGCACCTAGAGCAGCAGACTAGATACCGGGGTCAGGCGGCACACACAGGTGACAGGCACCCTCAGCACTAGTAGACAATGCATACATTGCAGTGAGAAGAGCGTCATAGTCAAGAGCAAAGATATATACCCTCTGCCTAAGCAGCTCCAGCCAAGAGGGGAGCTCAGCGTCGTCGCCAGACTCTGTACGCCAAGTGTCGCCCAGACAGGCGAAGCAGCGGGACTCTGTGTGACGAGGAGTCCCGCAAGGCCGACCAGTCCAGACTCCCGTGCAAATGACGTATGGGCAGCGAGCACTACTCCGTAACCCTCTACTTTGAGCGTACCACTCGCGAAGCTGCTGGGGCGAAAGGGTCTCGCGCGGACGACAGTGCAGCTGCACCTGGCCACTACAAGAAGCTCCCAAACTACTTACTCTAGGTAGACTCCCACCACAGCCACCCCGACAACCCCAACTAGCGTACCACTCACGAAGCTGCTGGGGCAGGAGGGACTCACGCGAACGTTGCTAGAGCTGCAGCTGGCCACTGCCAGGAGGAGCAGTATCAATAGTAGCCGCAGTAGCAGCAGTAGCAGTAGTAGCCACAGTAGCAGCAGTAGCAGTAGTTGCAGTGCGGCCACCCCTACAACCACTAGCGTACCACTCACGAAGCTGTTGGGGCGTGAGGGACTCACGTGGACGGCGCTGGAGCTGCATCTGGCCACGCCAGGAGCAGCAATAGCAGTAGAAAGAGCAGTAGTAGCAAGAGCAGTAGTAATAGCAATACGGGCAGGGCAGTGCTCACCAGTGGCGAGAATGGCAGGCGTACGACGGCGGCAACAGCGAGGCCGCTACCACTGCAGGGCAAGGGCTCCGCGGCAGCTGCAGGGGCGGCTGCTCCAGGGGCGGTTGCTGCAGGGGCGGCTGCTCCAGGGGCCAAGGGCGGCTGCTGCAGGGGTGGCTGCTCCAGGGGCCAAGGGCGGCTGCTGCAAAGGCGGCTGCTCCAGGGGCGGCTGTTCCACGGGCCAGGGGCGGCTGCTCCAAAGGCCAGGGGCGGCTTCTCTAGGGGCCAGGGGCGGCTGCTGCAGGGGCGACTGCTATGGTGGCCAGGGGCGGCTGCTGCAGGTGCGGCTGCTCCAGAGGCTAGGGGCGGCTGCTGCAGAGGCGGCTGCTTCAGGGGCCAGGGGCGGCTGCTGCAGAGGCAGCTGCAGGGGCGGGCGGGTAGAGGTCCACAAGCGGTGGGGCAGGGCCGAGGTGCGCCGGCAGGAACAGGGCCGGGACAGGGCGGCAGAGAAGGGGCCGCGCCTCGGCTGCAAAGTAGGGCCGGGACGGCGGCAGCAGCTGTCACGGAAGTGGTAGCGGCGGTTGTCTCAGCAGGAGCGGCGGCGGCTGTCACGGCAGGAGCGGCGGCGGCGACCGGCCGTGGAGGAAGCAGCAGCTGCAGCAGGCGCAACGGCAGCTACTGCTGGGGCGGCGACTACGGGGCGGCAAGGCCGCCAAGAGCCGGGGAGGGGCCGCATAGGGGCCGCAAAGAGCCGCGAAGGGGCCGCGGAGGGGCCGTGAAGGAGCCGCGAAGGGCTGCGATGGGCCGTGGAGGGGCCGCGAAGGGGCCGTGAAGGGCGGCGTAGGGGCCGAGAAGGGGCCGCAAGGGGCCGCGAAGGGGCCGCGAGGGGCCGCGAAGGGGCCGCGAAGGGCCGTGAGAGGGGCCACGAAGGGCCGCGAAGGGGCCGCAAAGGGCCGCGAAGGGGCCGTGAAGGGCCGTGAGAGGGGCCGCGAAGGGCGGTGAGAGGGGCCGCGAAGGGGCCTTAAGGGGCGTGACAGGAGGGCAGACGCACGGGGCGCGACTAGGGCAGACGCGAAGCGCGCTCCGGGCAGGTAAGGAAAAAAAAAATCGTTTTAGTGGTGGGCCCTAGGAAACGTTCCCACTAGGGAACCTGCTCTATACCATGTGAAATACCGAGGAATGAATTGACTAGGAATGTGTGGGGTACAAGTATGAAACCCTAGAATATCAGTACCCCCTATTGTCTACCCCACTACAACCTACATAGGCTATAGCATATATGTCTGACAGCCTTCCCCTATTTATATTGTTACGACTGATGATGTTCTTAATGCATACAAAAAAATGTATATGGGCTATCGCTGATGGTCACGGAATCTAGGGATGTATCACGAATAGTCACACGTTGCCTCAAAATTCTATCGCGTATAATCACACAATGAAATTGTCAACGAAAAGTTGAAAATACATGAGTTACAACCGCTACTTATCAACAAAGTTCGCGACCACTTTCGAAACGTTTAAACCTGATTCTGTGACCATCCGTGATAAAGATCTAGATTTTGTGACCGTTCAAGGTAGCCGTGTGACAATTTTTGATAGCGCGTCCTTTATAGTGACCATTTGTATATTGACCCCATAAAATTGCATAGGGTGGGACGGGCCAATAAGTGGCGCTGGTGGATCCTCCTTATCCACGCGACGCGACATTCACATGCTTGCTCAGTGCTCTCATTCCTTCACAGCCACACACACACACCCACCATGTGGTTATACTGTAGCTTGCTCGGGCTTGGTTCAAGCACACGGACAGTGCTGCAAGAACACGTCATCGTGAGTGAGGGAGTGACCCGTGCCGTGCCGTGAGTACAGTTTTGGTACACCAAGTCCTTGCCAACTTCACCATGGCCAATTTTACCCCCCTGTGTATTCGTTTTAAATTTACCCGAGTTTGAGGGTTGTTTCAAACACTTTGGCTTTAAAGAAAGCAACGACCGAGACTACGCACATGAGTTAGTGGAAATACAAAAGAAACATCGTCGCAATGGAAGATTCAGTCCTTGCGTTGCGGTCTCAATGACAGAAGGGGCAAACATCGAAACGTCACAATGCCTCGGACAATGACAATGACAATGACTCTCCGCCTGAGACCGCCATGGCTGCCACCTGGAACTTCGGAGCTACCAATGTTGGTGCTCCAGGGTGTTAGAGACGCTAATAACCGGTTTAAGTGAATCGCCTTATCACAGGAAGCACGTCGATATTATTTTGGTGTCCATAAAGCGGACATTGCATTGACATTCCCTAAGGTCATCTCTCGCCTGGATCCAGTGCCTAACCTCTATGTTCTTCATCTAGGTGTTTTACAAGCAGCTGAGTCAGCGCGTGGTTATCAAGGCTTCCAGCAACCTGTTCTCAACAACCATGACAATGGAGATACTCCAAGCAACCAGTTTCAAGGATTTGACAATAAGGCTTCACAGGCTCGCTTCGCGGGTGGATTTCAGGCGCTCAGAGTGCTTTCTTCTCCAGCAATTTGCTGGTTGTGGTGGCTCTTTCATCATCACGCCATGCCTCCCAGAGCGAGGCCTGTTAAGCCAGCTAACAAGATGGTCACTGATGATGCCGCTGCTGCTGCTGCTGCTACGCTGAAGACTCCTGCTGCTGGTCCGTCGGCTCGCCCTGCATCTGTTACGGCTGTTCCGTCGAAGTCGTCACGCACTCTGTTTGCGGAGGATGACTCTGAGTCGCTAACGCTGTCTGCTAAGCTCGCGGCTCTCCGGATCGAGCAGGCTGCTGGTGGGAAAGCAGATAAAGGCAAGGCGAAGGACACGGATTTCAAGGATGCTGTGTCAGACGCGGAAGATGATGCTGCTGGTGATGAGGATCAGGACGCACCTGACGCTGCACGCTGCGTCAACTTCATGGATGATGAGGATGATGGCCTCCAGGCGCATGACCCGAAGGAGTGCTTCGAGGATAAGGCGAAGGAGGATCTGGCGGCGAAGCTTCGGTTCCCGCTTATGCTGCTGATCCCGAGTGAACATCTGTAGGAGGTCCGCCGTACGCAGGCGACCGTCAAGGAGCTACTGGGGATCTGGGGGAATGAGCTCACGGAACACGCAGTGAAGACAACTTTCTAGGAACTGGACCCTGGTTTTACTGCAAAGAGGTTTTCCGGTCGCATGCAAGTTATTTTCGTCAATGCCTCTAACGCTAACTTTGTCTGGCGCAACCGTGTTGAGCATCGATGTGTTGATGGGAAGTACATCATCCTGGATTGGCTTTATCTGGAGAATCTAGGGTACACAAGGAGGAAGATCACTGATCCGGCTGTTATTGAGGTGCTGTTTCTTGGGGTTGCTGCGGAGATCTCCCCGGAGATGCTGCATGAGGCGCTCGCCATCTCTCCGCTGAAAATCTGCAAGCGTCCGGCCTTCAAGGAGGGTTTTCACTTCCATCGCGTGGTGCACCCTGTTTCGGGGCTGGACACTGACCGGGTGAAGGGATTGGTGGTCGCTCATGAGAATGATCAGTTTCGGTGGCTGCATCGGTTCGAGAGTCCAATCTCACCTGGAGCGAAGATCATGGTGCATTACCCGGCCCTGAAGTGTTCGCTCTGCGGGGGAATGCACTCCGTGCATAATCATAACGACTTCATTACAGAGCGCCAGAACAACATCTCCAAGTGGAACCTCACAGTGGGGAGGATCCAGCAGCTCAATGGTAGAGACGGTGTTTCGTACTTACCTGTTTTTACTGCTCGTGCTGTTGCTTCATTCCTGCTCTTGGCGGTTTCTGATTTCCAGCTGCGTATCTCCCACCTGTGCAGTGGCTGCGACTGTAGCCACAACGACAACCAGGATCATCCTCAAGGATCCCGTGCTGGTGCTGGTCTCAACGGCAGGGAACAGGGAGGAATGGGTCTGCCTGCTGGAGTGTTGCGAGAAGGCGAAAGGTTCCTCCTTCGAGCAGGCTGCGCATCATGCGCTTTCCCAGCGCCATCGGGGAGGGCTGGGGAATCAGGGTGCTGCCACGCATGTACTCAAGGACAAGCTGAATCTCCGTGTGCTGCGCAAGGAGTACGGGATTTAAGGGGGAGAGGATGCGAGATGTTCCTGTTAGTACAGTGCTCACATGTCATGTATGCAATGAGATATAGTGGTAACTTGCTCTGTTTCAGATGTCTTCCTTCAGCCCGTGGATGCTATGGGGCTCCCACCTGGTTGATTAATGGATAAGGCTTGCAAGCTGTCGGTGTGCGAGCTCAATGTTAATAGGCTCGGGAGTAGAGGCAAGCAACGGAATCTGAAAAAGTGGACAAAAAAGGAAGCAGACATATACGTTCTTACGGACACGAGGGTTGCTCCGGACCACGAGTTCTGGAAGCGGTTGAAATTCCATCACTGCCTGGCAGTGGCAAATGTGGAGAGGGCTGGTGGAGTGGCGATTGTCAGCAACAATAAGCAGTTAAATTTTGAGAAGGTCATGACGCAAGCCTCAGGGAGGCTCATTTATACTAAAGTAAGATGGGACACTTTCGGCTTTGCGATTCTGGCGGCATACCTTCCGGCGAGTGCGTGTAGCAGAGTTGCTTTCTTCAGAGACGTGCTGGGCCCGTTCCTGTCTGGGCTGAACTGCAGTGGCAAGCTGATGCTGGCCGGGGACCTTATTGTTGTGGAGGACCCTGACCTGGACAAGTCCCCGGGGTTCGTCCGGGGAAAATGGCAGGTTGCTGCAGTTGTTCGACGGTCTGCACATGGTAGATGCGTTCCGGACGCTCAACCCGAGTGGCCGTGAATACACATTCTATGCGAAGGCGACGAAGTCAAGCTCCAGGATTGACCGAATCTTGGTGTTAGCGGAACTCATCCCTTCGGTGGTGGAGGCGGCTCACACTCGGTCGCCGAATGGCATATCGGACCACAAATGCGGTGTAAGGGTGGTGCTGCAGGCGAGCCTGAGGCTGCACATGGGTTCAGGCATCTGGCGGCTGCCATCTGCGGACACGGCAAAACCAGGAGTAGAGAGGGTGATTAAAGCAGTCGTCGAGAGACACCATGCGGAAGCATCAGGCAATTTTGGCGGTCTCCTCACTAAGCTCAAAGCGGCGCTAAGGCGTTATGCGGCGGAGGAACGGAAGCGGATACGAGCGACCTTGAGGCACCTGGAACTTGCAGTTTCCGGGGTGCAACAGGAGCTGATGAGGAACCCCCTGCGCGACGATCTTTGAGTGACTCTGGCGGAGAGAGAATCGCAGCTGGCGGCGTACCTGAAAGGGGAGAATGACAGGCTGCACCTCTTGGCGGGGATAAAGGAGGAAACAAAGGGTGAGATTGCGTCAGGAGTTCTCTCGGCGAAAGTGAAGTCAAAGAAGACGCGGACAATAATCACGGTTTTGACCTCGCAAGGGGTGAAGCAGAGAGGCACGAGGGGTATTCTGGAAGCCGCCTCCCGCTTTTACGCGGAGCTCTTTGCGGAAGCTCCTTCGTCGGGTCTACCATGCTAGAAACCGGACCTGCCGAAAACGCTGCGGGATCGGGAAAAAGAGGAGCTTGAGGCTGACTGGACAAAGGAAGAAGTGAAAAAGGCGTTGAAGGAGATGGCGTGTGATAAATCCCCAGGTGGTGACGGTTTACCGAAGGAGCTCTTTGAGCGCCACTGGGACCTACTAAGGAAGGATTTCATGGGCTTCATTAAACAGTTCGAATCCTCAGCGGTTCTTCCGGAGGAAGTGCAGGAGGTGGTGACCATCCTGCTATACAAAAAGGGGCCAAGGGAGCAGGTGCATAATTATCGACCGATTACCCTACTGTCAAGTTGCTACAAGGTGGTTGCGAAGCTGCTGGCTAACCGCATGAAGCAAGTTTTAGGCACGGTCATCTCGGAGGAGCAGCACAGGTTCCTTCCAGGCAGGCGGCTCTCGGACGCGGTGTCAACAGTTGCGGATGTGATAGAAGCTGCAAACAATAACAAGGAGGACTGGTATCTGCTTATGATCGATTTTCAGAAGGTATTCGACTCTGTGTCGCGTTCGTTCTTGTTTGACACGATGGCGCTGATGGGATTCCCGAGCAAGTTCATCCGGTGGTGCGAGGGGCTGCATGATGGTTCCTTCACTCGTCTGCTGGTGAACGGGTGGCTGGGGGACCGGGTGGACGTCCGCAAGGGGGTTCGGCAGGGGTGTCCTCTGGCCCCCTACCTCTTCTTGTGCGCGGTGGAACCGATCTGCCAGGAGGCAAAACGCAGGAAGTTAGGCATCAATGATCACCACGCCGACAGATTGGCTTACCTTGGTTACGCGGATGACACGACGCTTGTGTTGAAAGGGAAGAGGCAGATTGAGAGAGCGGAGGAACTGCTGGAGGAGTTCGGAGCTCGGTCCGGCCTCCGCGTCAACAAAGACAAGTCGGCGCTACTCCCACTAGGGGCTAACCTGAAAGAGACGAGAAGCGTGAGTTCAGACTTCGCGTGGGTGAATCCAAAAGACGCGGAGAGACTTCTGGGTGTTTGGGTCTCCCCCTCTAGAAGCGCGGAAGTTACCTGGGATAAGGCGCTGGCTAGGGCGGCGGAGGAGCTCGTGAAGTGGCAGTCGCACCACTTAGCCACGACGGCGAGAGTAGCGGTTGTTAACGCTTACGTCTGCCCAAACCTAGAGTTTCAAGGGCAGATTTACCCTCCGTCAGAGAGCGTGTGGAAGCGGATCATGAAGCTGCTAGTCAACTTCATCTCTGGCAACAAGGCATCGGCGGAGCGGCATTTTATGCTCTGGAGCAGGGAACTGATCTTCAGACCTTGGAAGGACGGAGGGTTGGGGGTATGAGATCCTTTCGTTGAGCTCAGTGGCTTGGCGGCCAGGAGAGTGGGGAAGCTGGTGTTGGTCAGGAGAGGGGTGCGCAGTTGGTTGGCGACAAAGGCGGCTGACCTCCCTGCGGGCTTCCGTTCCTTCTGGGCGCATCCGGAGTTCCTGAAAACATGGAAGGGAAGGAGCGTCAGATGGAAGCAAACTTGTGAAATGTCTATGCAGTCAAGCATCGCGAAGAAAGGTCCGCTCTCTCGCTGGGACATCGCACAAGAGCCGCTGGTGTTTAATCGGCAAATCCTGCCGAATGGGAAGAAACTGCTTGGGCGGCAGGAAGCGGCGAAAGGGGTGGAACTTTTGAAACTCAGCGATTTTGTCGGCCAAGCGAAAGACGGCGTTTTCTTCTTCAAGGATGAGAAGCTGCTAACAAAAAACTGGGCACACGCAAGAAAGCAAGGAGGGCGCTCAGGGCTTTTGCGTGCGTCCCGTCCGCTTGGAAGGCGAAATTGATAGCGCCAATCACGGGGGAAGAGTTCCTAGTGGAGTCGGCCTTCGTGAAGAAGAAGGGCCTGGCGGGTGCCTGGAAGGCGGAGAAAGTGGTGCACGATGGCCTTGCCTGCCAAGCGTGTGACTAGTTTGGCGTGCCCCTGGTGGGGGTGGCGGAGACAACTGCGGTTCTCCCCCTGGACAAGGTGGAGGCGTTGATGGTGAGGGGCGGAAGGGTGATTGGAGCGGGTGGCCTCCACGAGGTACGGCTGTGCTGCTCAGAGCTCTGCATGGAGGATCAGCTCCCCCCCCTCAAACAGCTGAGGTTGCTTTTTGGCGCACAGCAAGGGGTGATGCAGCAGTAGGAGAAGTGGTCGGATGAGTGGGGAAGTGTGATTGACTGGAAGAGGGTCATCAGGGTGCGGGACTCTGCGGTGCTTCCGAACCGAGCCCGGGATGTTTTGCTTTGCCTGCATTGTCGCAATCTCCAAGTCGGGGTGCGGCTAAAATTCCTGGAGGGGGTGGCATGCCAGCACTGTGGGGAGGAGGAGACAGCGGAGCACTGTTTGTTCCGCTGCCCTAGGATTCAGCCAGTGGTGCGGGGGCTGTTAAAGGCTCTTCAGATCATCAACCCGGGCAGGAAAATCACTTCGTTGGGGGACTTACTGTTTCAGAAGGAAGGCTCGAGCTCGGGCTTCCCAGAATCCACAACCACAGCCATTGCTTTGCATAAGATATGGGTGGAAAGGTGTGACGCGGCATTTGAGAGAGGGCGGTTTCGGTGCAAGTGGGTATTACGAAGGATTGCAGCCGCTTTCTACACCCACACAAGGATCTATCTTCGGGCGAAGAAGAGGAGTAAACGGGTAGGAGTTATGCTATGGCCGGGGCAACGTTCTATCCTGGAACGGTTGGATCCAGACGAATTTCGGCTGGTAAGTAGAGTCTGTGACAGCTCGGCAGAACCGATGGCTTCACCTCCATCTGGGCCAATCCACGCACGATTTTCCATCCCCCTTAAGTTGTCAGGTTGGGTACGACGGCAGGGTGTTGTCTAGGCCCATCAGCTACAGTTACGACTGTTAATGCTTGTATGCGCTGTTATAATGTAACTTGCATTGCCAGAAAAAAAGAAAAGAAAAAAGAAAAACAATGCCTCGGATAGCCTCTAGTTCGGGGGTGTCTTACCCCCTATAGCCAAATAAGGTCAGTTTGGCTTTAAGGAAAAACTGACGGGGCGTGAAATTGGCGAGGACTGTGTGTAGTGAAGTGTGGTTGTTTGTGTGAGTCCTCGTCGTGAAGTGACAACATGCCTTCATGCCTGGACGGACCTGTCAGTTGAGCTCTCTCATCAGAGTTGCTTCGTTTCATTTCCTCCACTAGGAATGGGATGGGAGTACGTGAATGTAGCACAAACAAGTTGGAGTGCAGTGGCGGGGTTGGTTGGACGTTGAGAGACTGCGCGAAAACAAACTTCAAGTGAGGTGATTCCGCCGGACTGTCGCAGCGCCGACTACTGTAATAGTACAACGCCCGGATTCAAGCGAGTACCACTTGATGCATTCCGGGTCCCAGCCGCCGCACGCCGAGGGCGACAGCCTGGTACTACGACTGTACTAATCGAGGTCGCCGCACTCCCTCACGCAGTGCGCGACCAACGGCGGCGGCGTGTGCACCATTGCCAATCGGCTCGTCGACCCGTCACGTTTGACCGTGAGCGTGAGCGACCGACATCCGGACTGCGTCTCTCTCTCCCCCTCACTCTCTTCACCCTCTCGCTCACCAATCTCTCCCTCGATGACGTCACCATTCAATCTTCGCCGCACCCGCGCTAATACTACTATCACTCTCCCGGCTAGTAGCACAAGCGGCGCTGCACACGTGCTCGACAGCAGCATCCCCAAAAGAAGTAGTTCTTCTACGAGTAGCGCTACTACCAGCCTCATTGGCAGCTGTAGAGCACGGCGCGCCGCCACCAGCTCTCACTCCCCGGCGAGCTTGACGGGCCGCCGCCGCCGCGGCAGCAGAAGCACCGGTTTCTTGTCTCCGCGCGTGCCGGTGGCCGCAGCGCGCCTGCTCCTCGTACCTCTTCTCATCCTCACCGCCGCCGCCGACTGCTTTACTCGCAACGCCGCGCCCCCACCCCTGCCCTCCCCCCCTCGCCGCTCCGACCCTCGCCACTGTCCCCCCCCTCCGCGCGGCAACCTCCGCCTGCGCGCGCCTTCTCTGCTCCGCCATGCGGCGGAGCCGTCTCTTGGCGCGTGGCTCGAGTTCCTCGGTGTCGCCTGGGGGAATTCGAGCTCCTAGCGCAACCACAGAGAAGGTGGGGGGAGCCAAGGCGGCGCGCGGGATCGCCGCACGCTTTTGCGGGTTGAAGTTACCGCCGCCGCCGCTGCTGCGGAGAGGCCCGTGGTGCTAGGAACGTCATAGTATGAGTAGTGGGGATGAGGTGAGGTTGGTGGAGGGGAAGACTGGCGCATTGGCAGTGGGGCATTGGGAGTGAGTGGAAGTGGGTGTGCGCAGTGGGGCATTGGGAGCGAGTGTATTGTTGCATCTCAATGCACCGTGCATTGGTGCATCACTGCTCCCCGTTTCCCCAGTATCTCGATTACCCTGAGTATCCCCGTTCCCCATTATCCCCATTACCATCACCTCCCCGTTTCCCCCTTCATCCCGCCAGCAACTCTTCCCCCATAACCCCGTTTCCCCCATCACCCCGTCCCTCCGATCATCTCCATGACACGTTTCTCCCCATCCCCATCCCCATCCCCATACCCATCTCCATGCACCTGGGCGGTGTGCGTGCAGTGCGCACGCTGGTACAGCTGCAGGAGGCGTGGCGCGTGTGGGCGGGCAACAGCGACACCACCACGGCGCGCTCTGCGTGGACTGGCGTCACGTGCTGTTGACGGTGGTTGGCTAACCACGACCTAGCACAACCTGGAGTGACCTACATCGACCTAAGAAAAACCTACTTTGACGAGCTGAGACTATGGGGAAGCGAGGACCTAAGAAGAAGAGAGACTACCTATGTTGGGACGATGGAAGGAGAAACACGGTAGCAGCGCGACCTGCAGTGGGAAACGAAGAGAAGGAGAGGAAGTAGGCTGAAATGGAGAAGAACATGGCTGAAATGTCGTGCTTTCAAGTGACGTGAAGAGAAGTCACGCCGGGTCAAAGGCGCGTCCAAGGAAGTCTGAATTTCGAACTCGAGGCGCGTTCGGTGCATGGTTGGATTTGGAAATTGAGACGAGTACAACTCAGCTCGAAATTAGGCGCGGCACGAGGGCGAAATCAGAAATCCTTTTGCTTATAACTTGCTTTGTGCTTTCTGTTTTTGTATGCCTTCTTCAATGAAATTACTTCAACTTTTTGCCTTGGCGTTTTCCATCAAATTCCTTCACACAGTTGAAGCCAGAGGTTACTATGCATACTACTAAGACTCTAAATAGTCTTCATAGTCTAGACTAAAGGCTGCGCACGTTGAAGAGCTGGTATCAGAGCTGGTTTAAGGCGTGTTATAGCGTTTTAAGGATAGGCGGAATCTATTAAGTATGACGGGAGATCATACTGAGGCAAGTTCGGGCTCCTCTGTGAGCATTGGAGGCTCAGAACTACAGGCCATCCTAACAGTGCTAGCACAAGCTAAATTGACGGCAAAACAACCGATTGGGCTTAGCCAGGCCCAACGGTTCCATGGAGAAAATTATAGCACGTGGCGACTCAAATTCATTCGTAGAGCGGAGGAAGTCGATCTCTGGCCGTACTATCATCCTGACAAGGAGATGGGAGAGGGCGTCCCACCATCTGCAAAAGAAAAACCAGAAGAAAATGCAGTGCACCAGACAAGGTGGAGGATCTTTTGGAGGAAAAGGAGAGTGAGGGAGCTGGGTATGAAGGAGATGAGGAACTCGAAGATGTGGAACGGGCAGATTCAGTTGATTGGGTGTGGGAGAAGGCACCAACCAGTGAAGCAGATGAAACCAATGGAGTGGAGATAGCAGGGGAGCAGCCAAGCAATGAAGTAGCCGAGGGTGGCAATGAAGAGGTGGTTGGAGAAGGAGATGAAGAATCAGCAGCTGAAGGAGATAGTGATCCATGGAAGCTTCTAAACAGTGATGACAGCAATGTCAAGATGAGGGAGATAGAGGAATTACTTGAGGAGTGCACCATCGTGATTGGAAGGGAAGTGAAGAATGGAGAAGGGAAAGCACTGGCGGATTCCAGTGAGGATGAGGCTGAATTACCTGCAGAGGAGTTGGGGAAAGGAAAGAGGGTGAAGAAACCAAACCCTCGGTATGCGCAACTGCTGATGACGTGTTGGAAGGACATCCACACCCACCTCCTACTCTCTGCCACAGCTACTGACCTAGTCTCCAATGAAGGAAAAGTGACCCACAACCTGCCCAAAGAACCAGTGAGCATCAAGGAGGCGCTAGAGGGTCCAGAAAGGGCGCAGTGGAAAGCGGCAATTGAGGAGGAGTTGAACACATTGGCTAAAAGGGGCACATGGGAGCTACTACCTATGCCAGAAGGGAGGAAAGCCGTGGGAGTGAAGTGGATTTAAAAAATCAAGACCGGTGATATGGGGCAGCTGGAAAGGTTCAAAGCAAGGCTTGTAGCCAAGGGCTACACTCAAGTGGAGGGGAAAGACTACCAACAAAATGAGATCTATGCTCCAGTGAGCAAGTTGGCAACGGCGCGGGTTTTTCTCAAGGTGGTAGAACTCATTACTCAACTAAACGCAAATCCGCTCGATAGGATTGTGCGCGTTAGGCTTAGCTACCATCTCCAAGTTGAATCAGTCGTTAAGATGGTCTAGAGAGTGAGAACCATGTAAAAACGTCCAGCAGCCGCATGACTAGAATGGTAGAGGAAGTACAAGCATGTAGGCATAGAAAGTTGGAGTTGGGAACCTCCAAGAGAACCATAAGAGGGAAGGGGTTCTCCAAGAGCTAGGGAAGGATGGTAGGAACCTTCCTAGCAGCAAGGATGCAACCCTCATCATGAGGTCCTTGAGGTGTCACATGCAAAATCCAATCTAGTTGGATTTTGCCTATGTGTTGCAACATTTGCAACCCATGCTAGAAACTTCTAGCCACCCCAATCCAAAAGTCAAAGTTGCCTTCCCTAACCACCCAACCAAAGATCGCTTTATAGTCATGTCCCAAGTAATCACCCAAATTAGATATAACCCCAAAAGGTCTTAAGAAATCCAAGTCTTGGAAATCTAGTAACTTGGGCGATCTTGGTCGGAATAAGGCGATCTTTGTATCGTTGGAAAGCTCTGGATTTCTCCTGCATGATCAAGCATTTAGACTTGGAGAAAAACACGGAGATGACAATATCCAACAGCCATGCATAA